ATTAGTACTATCTTTTTCTCAATTAAATCCATGTAGAAAAAAAGGAATAACGCTTACTTCCAAAAATGCGTGGTTTTTACAGTACTAGCTCTAGAATGTCTGTAGTACTATTAGAGTATTAATGGAGCTTAATTACATGTATTTACATAGACGAACCATAATAAATTCCAAACTTAAGATAACTAGGAACACATGCAAGTTGAGTGCCCCTTGAAGTGGGATGTATACCGGAAAATCAGACTTCAAGCGCCAATTTTAAATCTGTTTTCTTTTTCTATGGAACATTTTCCAAAAATGAGTTTGGGCGTTTATTCTCTCCTAAAATATCAATATCATTCACGATCTTTAACGTGTGCAAATTTACCTTCTGAGCTAGAACAACAATACAAGAGCTATTTTGATAAAATTTCCTATTCTACTACCGTTCTGAGCTAAATTGCTGCTCTGGAGCGGTTTTGTACAGCTCATTCAAGCGATTTTTGACCGGAAAAATTCTATATTCCTTCCAGAGTATTGTTATGCTAGGGCATTGAAATCAACGCTTTCATTTGAAGAGTCCACTTTGACTATATCTATTTCTTAGCTATTTCCTAAGGTTTTTCTGCACACGACACGTCATTAGTTCTGTTACGCTTATTCACACACGCTTTTTGCGATAGACTATAAGCTCCAAGTGGTATGAGTAAGGAATTAGTGTGAACTGTAAATAAAATGATGTTCCAACCTTTGCTAACTTTGAGTAAGAAGTGGTAGTCAGGCATTGACTTGATCACATTTGCGAAACCTTTCTTCACATTCTCAGGAAGGATATGGAAAGGTGCAATAGTGCCTAGCGAGATGATGATAACTCCCTTTTTGCCCTTATTCATTATGGCGGTGAATTCCTAAACTATGCAATTGAATGCAGTTTGAGCGAAGCATTTGACACAAACCTCATTTAACGGTTTGGGATCGCTTATTCCCAATCCACCAATATAGATGTTTTTGTGAATAATTGGTCTGGGCAGATCGAACATCTCATCAGCGTTAACAAAGCAGAGGCTAGCATTGGCTGCAATTTCTCGAACGTGGGGAAAGTCCGGGTCAATATTGCGGAAAACCTGAACATAAACAAGATGATCACTTCCAAATTCCTATGTTTGATACATTATTATTGCGTATACAACAAAAGAAACTACAAATGAAAAAATTGAAAAAAGAGAATGTAAAAGAAATTATTGATAATCTATGTAATATTAGAAAGCATATTTAAAAGTTATTTCCATTCTAAATCAAATTCCC